ATGAGCTGGAAAAATATATTGAAATTATGTCATAGAAATATAAGCCTGTGTTTGGAGACGCTTAATTTCTGCCATCCCAAATAATGAGGAGTTGGTTTGTTGTAAAATATGTTCCATGAATTGTTGTTGTATTTATTTATTGGTTATGTAGTATCTCAAATTTTAAAATGTCGGAAAATAGGGTGATTAATGAATTGGAAATGTTTTGTTGAATTTCAAAAATTTAAATTATGAATACCGATTATATTTCTGTGTTATTTGTGTTAATTAACAAAAGTGAATGGGCATGACACATCTGTGATTTTTAATAAGAGACTGAGTTTCAGAGGTAGTTACGTGTTTTTGAGTTCTAAACGTCAGCAGAAAAGTTTTGATTACAGAGAAATTGATCGATGGGTAAAGGGAAGGAAATTATCGTTAATTTTGATAATATACGCGATGTACCCTTACCACCATCTTTCAGATATTTCACTAAAAATTAATTCAGGGACTGTGAGAAACAGAGAATGCTAACAAAAATTACATTCACTGAAAGCTGCAGGCTAAGTGAGCTTAAATTTGGATCTCCCGCTGGTTTTGGAGAATCTTGTAATCAGAAAGTTTGGGTACCGGGTTTGTTGAATAAACCATTCTGTTTGGATTATTAGCTTCTTTCGACGTTTCCCACCGTCCGATGTTAAAAGGTCTAAACATCCAACAACCCAGAACCATTCTGTACTCAGATGAAGGATTTTAATCTTTTGAAGCACAAGGAGAGAATGATAAAGAAATTTAAGGAATAATTGTTCGGGACAGTACGTTTACTTGGAAGAGGGGGTGGAAAATTTTTCGGATCAACGAAGGTTCCCAGGCAGTACCCGATTGTCCTTCTGGTAAAGATAGGTTCAATGAAGTTAAAACGTTTGACAGTGGGATGACAAGGAAAGTAAGTTTCGTGTTACACTCTACAAAGATAATTTAGTTAATAACGTTTAGGGAAATGTAATCTCTCTTTATTCCGAGAATCAAACGGAACCCATAAATACATTCTATGAGGAAAATATAAGTTTCTGATTGTTAAAGTATGTGGTACATATGGTTACCACGGTGCATTAGATGATAAAAGTGTTCTCACCTGAGGCCGAAAAGGTCTCTTTGTTTTTTGCGCTGGTTGAGGATTAATCTCATGATTAGGACAGTCACTGCCAAGAGCCACAGTATTTGGTTTCGTGGGGTTAAGAAGTGGCATCTCCATAATTCCTTCTTTTTCTACTTCTCTTGGTTGACCGCTTTCCCTAAATTTAAAAAGTAAATTAATTAAAGCCGTCCCGCTACACGCCATGTAGGCGTTTGGGGTGAGTGGAGGTATAGCTCCTCTCTTTCCTGACCTCGGCACTAGATGGGGGTGAGTGGTCAGCATCACGCCCCGGCCCCATTTAACCCCCGGGGGGGAAAGGACCCCGGTACCCATTGTAGAGGAGGCTGGGTGGGCCCCAGAGCCGGTCTGAACGCAGAGGTTAGAGGGAAAATCCTCTGCCCCGGTCGTCCAGTCACTATCCTGACTGAGTTACCTCTAAGTTTGAAACAAGCAAATTATGAGTAGGAAGGAATGAGTTGAGCTTTGATTATGAAAGATTCAAGACATATAGAATACTTACATCGACCCACAAAATATGTATCAGATACTGTAAAATACTGTAGTTAAATATTCATGAGCGTTTATTAACCATTCCGGGCCGCAAGATCATAAATGTGGACAGTTTATTAAAAAGCCATGGAAATTTCTTAAAAGTGTTATTATCTTACTATAAGAAGCAGATTCGTATATTAATTGCCATTCATTCATTCATTCGTGCAGATATGTTACACTAATTTTCCTTGAGTAATCTGGATGCGTACTCCGATTCGATTCATAATTAATTAAATAGGAAATTATAGCGATTGTGATGTCACAGTATGTCGTCATACGACCCCAACTTATCAGAAATTCTAGCCACAATCATTGGGTTAATATAAATTGTTTTAGAGTCGTTTTATAACATTGCCATTAAGAAATACGTATTCCAGAATTTGACATAGTTATAAGTACTTACCACCGTCTAGAAGCAGCCATGTTCAAGTACAGAATTCTTTCTGCTCTAGAACGAACATTTACTGCTAACCTCATCGCTTGTTATAAACCCGAGATAATATGTTGCTAGTAATTACATACTATTGGTCAGGTTTGTGAACTTTTTACGAGCGGTTCTCTTATCATATTCATTTATCATGCAATTTGACAGTTAAAAAATATATATGCTTGTTTTTTTTAAGCAAAAAATTCAGATAGTACACAGGCACTGGCCAGTCAGCCGGCCCTGTGGGATAGAATATTTTGCAAGTTTAGGTTATATAACACGGAGTAAAATGTGTCCACAAGAGCTCGCCACTTCACCCCATCCTAAGATGCAAGAGTCCAGTAAACGTTGACACACCCTATTTCTATAAGATCTGTTGAAACTCCCATCTGCGTCTAGGTCAGTGTTGGAGGTAGCTAGGACCTCCGAAACGTCGGTAAACTTGTGCCAGACTACACAGCATGACAGCCTAGAAGACCACTAAGTTCTGAGGTTCCTTACTTAAACAGCGTTAACCAATTGATCTTTGTAATGGTAACGCGTTGTGTTTTCTTTGCGGTACGGACTGAATTATTAAATATATAGACGAGTTTCAGATTTACCACCCCTTAACGCCGTCAAAATTTACCCCCCTCCCCTCCCCTCAGTAGGAACTTCTAAATTATGTATTAAACTTCCAAATTAATAGCCTCAGCTTTCGCTAATACAAAATTTTCAAAATTCCGTCTTTTATGCCAATCATCACACTAAAGCCTTCACTCTTACTTTATCCTTAACAGAAGGACGAGCGGGCATTGCCTGGGGACCTTCTAGCTATAAGATGCTCTTTCTCCCCCCCCAGATATCGAAGTGTGTCTCACTTCTCCCCCACCAATTTCCTCTTTCTCTCTCTACGAGCGTTCTGGTTTACGAAAAAATAGAGCACTGGTAATTTAATATCCGAATGGGCAAGAAGAATTCGTACGTAAGTTAATTAGGGTTTGTTAATCGTCGTTTAAAGGTACTCGATCAACACAGTTACTCGCGAGTTTGTTCTGTTTAAAATTGAGTTCGTGTTAGGTGACTGACAACTCTTACACTTTCTTATTTATTCGTCTTCCTTCAGTCGCACTCATTCCTATTTTGCTTAATATTTTATAAAGTGTAACCAGTTAAGAGAGTGTTATTAGGTAACATTCTATACTAGTATACATTAGTCACCTACTTTATCATAAACCTTCATGGCTGAAGCATATTTATTTTTAGTATGTTAGAAAATGTTTTTATCAGGAGTCATATTGCGAAACAAAAGACGTTCTTTTGAAGAACTCAATGTCAAACAGTTACAACTTTTTTTATCATCGTTTTATATCGCTCCAAGGTATTGCCTCGTTCCTTAAAACCGTCACCCTTGTCAGCTTTCACAAAGAAACAACTTTGTCAAAATAAATATCAGACAAAGGCTGTCAAGTTACCGAAAGCGGATCTTTATTAAAATGTGGGAGGGAAATAAAAATATGCAGGTTGTGCCGGCAGGTTCGTGTCAGACATGTTGGGAATGTTCGTTGGTTCACTCCCGAGTTGAACAGTCGCGGTCACCGCGTTTTAAGAGATGTTGGTCTAGCGGTTAGAACGCTGGCCTTGTAATCCTAGGGGTCTCGGGTTCGATTCCCGGCGGTGCCCGAATTTATAACTTGTGTTGGGCAAGGCCGTGGTCTAGGCAACACGGAGTTTTCCTCCGTGGCATCCCAACAATTACTCCATTCACACACAGAAGAAGGCAATGGCAAACCACTTCTGGATCATCTGCCAAGAACGTATATGAACAGGTCCCAGTCCGAGAAAAGGATGGAAGGATCCTGTTCATATGGACCTGTCGTCAGACAGAACACTAAATAATAAATAACAAGTACTGATCCGTGCCGAGAATTTCACACAGTCCGAATGATTACATTTCGACCATTCCCTGCGATCTCGTATTGTTACCATTAGGGAGACACATTACGACACACGCATTTCTTTCTTTACAAAATAAGGGAAGAAAGAAAAAGGATTTTTGATATTGACACATTTATTTAGTTTTAAGATCTATATTACTAGCGTTTTGGTATTGCGATGTCTGATTCGATTAACATGCATATCGATTTTCTGGCCTTTTTCGTCGTTTTCATATTTGTCCCTAGTTACCCACATGACGTTTGGCTGCCGGAAGTAGTCCTCAATCTGCTGTAGGGTAAGTCCCTGAGTTTCCGGTAAGAAAAGATAAACAAATATTGTACAGACCACACAAGAAATTCCAAAAAACAAGAAGATGCCATGTATCTGTAGATTGTTGGACATCCAAGGGTACATTTTAACGACACTTCCTAGAAGGAGGTCGTTCATTGTGTATATATAACCACAGGCGAAACCTCGAACGTGGGAAGGCTGAGTTTCTCCTATCATGATAGAAGGAAGCGCGAAAAATCCAAATGACATGCTTCCGGCGTAAATGAGAGCTGATAAAAACGTAATATTGGCCTCCAGTTTCGGAGACATCGGAGAACCATATTCCATGTTGTTGAGGGAGAGAATTATACCTAGGCAAAGGGCAGACGCTGACGAGAGAACGCCTGAAATAATCGATATCGTTCTTCGACCTGCCTTGAGCATAAGAAACGAGGAAATGAGTACAGAAAGTACTCGAACTGCTGAAAGTAAAACAGTCGTCGAATAATCATCCAAGATCTCTGTTCCAGCTTTCCTAGTCTTTGATAAAATGTCGACCGTGTAATACGTGAGTATGCCGAGACCGCAGAAAGTTTGGAGGACGTTGAACAAATGTATTATAAAGAAGGGTTTCAGAATTGAAGGTTTGAAGAAATTTCTGACAGTCTTTGCAATCCGTCGGCTGTGTTGTTCCCTGGGACGCAGTCTCGATATCAGATCATGGAGTTCTTTTTTTGCCTGGAAGAAAATAAAATCTGAGTTAGTCAGTGGAATATAATACGTAAGTTTTGATTTGTAGTTTCCTCTTTTTGCATTTAGCAGAGGAGAAAGTTTCAAAATTATTACAGTATTTCTGATTAAAAGAGACCGAATTTCTAGTCAAATATTGATAGTTGTTACAGTCTGGATTACTTATATCTTTAGAATAATTCTGTACAGAATTTAAATAAGATTTTTTTTGGGGGGGGGTTATTGTACGATTATCTGAGTTTTACTGATGTAAATACAGCTATCAGTAGTTTGTGGAAAATTCTTAGTAACCCAATGCAAGATTTAACGTGTCTCAGTTCTCAAATAAATTAGGGATTATGAGTTTATCCAGACAATCACGTAATATTAGCTAACGCTTAATTTTACAAGTGTAATTTATGAGTTTCACGTGATTCTCTGAGTAAACAGCGATTATTTCATTAAACAGCGTTAACCGGTTGATCTTTGTAATGGTGAAGTGTCGTGTTTTCTTCGCGGTACTGACTGAGGTTTTAAATGTTATTTAGATGAGGCAGGCAATTCTCATGCAGCCCTCCCGACTTAAATTAATCAAAATTTACCCCCCCCCCTCCCCTCAGTAGGAACTTCTAAATTATGTCCTAAACTTCCAAATTAATAGTCTCAGCTTTCTCTAATACAAAATTTTCAAAATTCCGTCTTTTATGCCAATCATCACACTAACGCCTTCACTCTTACTTTATCCTTAACAGAAGGACGAACGGGCATTGCCTGGGGACCTTCTAGCTATAAGATGCTCTTTCTCCCCCCCAGATATCGAAGTGTTTCTCACTTCTCCCCCACCAATTTCCTCTTTCTCTCTCTCTCTCTCTCAGGCAACCTTCCGACTTTAACATTAAAATTTCGCCATTTTCCTCCATCCAAAGTTTAATGTCATTCTGTTCGAATGCAGTAAGGCCCTTCTTAACTTCTCTCCTTACTCGACTTTTCATCATTTTAATTTCCCCACTTTCGAAAGTCTTACATTCTCTTTTGTCTACATTTACTGTAAGAACGAGCTGGGAACCATCATAGCTGAAAATTTGTGTCATTTTGTCCTTGCAAAATGTGGTGTGTCTCACTACTGATCCTCCAACGTCCTTTAAGATAACGAGTCACACTTACCTGCACTTCATTTCCGGGACCCCAGAGCCACTTCAGAGCACTCTCTGCTTCCTGGACCCTGTTCTTCCTTACGAACCACGTGGGTGACTCAGACACGAAGTATAGTGAGACCAGATTTATGATGGACGGCAGAGCAGCCAGGGCCGATGCTGTTCTCCAGTTGACAAAAGCTCCGAGACACGAGATCGCCATGATACCTACTGATACGCACGTGAACATACTGCATACTATGAAGCCCCTGAATTTGGGATCTGCAAGTTCGTCGACAAACACCTGAAAGGAAAAGAAAATGGAAGTCATAGGACCGGATCATTTGATCCAGGAATTAACTCGAAAAATGAATCAGAGTTACGAATTTTATTATGTACGTGTGTTAAAGGTTGTCTCTCGCGTTAAGGGAAGAACACAGACTGAAGGTGTTTGAGAACAGCGTGCCGGGGAGAATATTTGGATCCAAGAGTGTGGAGAACTTCATGGTCTGTACTTTTAAAAAAATATTACGATGAGACAAATCTCAGAGAATGAGACATAACGCGTGTGGAGAGAGAAATTAGAAATGCGTATAAAATTGAGGTTGGAAAACCTGAAGAGAAAAGACCACTTAGGAACACTAGGCGCAGATGGGAGGATAATATTAAAATGTATTTTAAGGTAATAATGTGTGCACTGGGTAAACCTGTTTCAAAATGATGACCAATGGTGGGATTTTGTGAATAAGGTAATGAACCTTGGGGTTTCTTGAAATAATACTGCGACTGTCATGACCAGCTGAACGACTATAAGGTTTTGAAGGAAGAGTGTGTTGTTGCGTGGTTAGACCCACAAAGTTTTATCAAAATTCATTTTGCAATCGTGTAGGAGCAGTTAGACTATTTTTTGTAGTTATTTTTTACTGATGTATACGTAAATGTAAGTTGACATTGAAAGAGACGTGGCATTGATAAAACAACCTGTTTTAGGGAAGTAAGTGCATTGTCTTGAATGACGAATGTAATGCCACTGACTAACTAATCTAATGGTAGGAGTGGCGTATGAAGCCCTTTCTTTGTGTGCTTTTAAAATGAATCTGAAGTGTTATTTCTCAAATCCATATTTTCAAACTTTATTTCTTTGAGATAAGTTTTAATATTATCGTCCGTTTATGTTTAGGTCCTTCCTAACTGGTATTTTCTTTTCAGGTTTTTTTTTTCCCGGCGAAATGTTTGTCTAATAGGCTGTTTACAGTAAGACATTTCTGTGAGAATGCAGATATTGGTGTTGTAGGTAGTAACACTGCGTGAACTTGTAGGTAGATGATCAACGTTTCGGATGAACATACTACCTCCATCTTCAGGGTTGAAGATGGAGGCAGTATGTTCCTCCGAAACGTTAATATCTGTCTGTGTTGCTAGTCTTCGACTAAGTTGTGGTTGGAACCTCTCACCGTGATGCAAGTGGCAAGGATACTTCTTGAGAATCCTTCAATGATTCTTCCAGATATAAGCATGGCTACGCTGTCTGCAAACGTAATCAGAAGCCATCCGATAACCATACCGATGTTTCCAAACATATTAACATTCCGTCGGCCCCACAGATCCATAGCTAGGCCCCCGAGGAGGCATCCCACGGGGCTAGCAATGGCGTACACACTCGCTGAAACATAAATGTTCGTTTCACTTACTGGCTTAACGGAGTTAAATGCATGCTGACGGCTTCATAATTATAACTCTTTATTAAATATTATTAGAATTGCCACGTGTTGGAAGGAGTGTGTAGCACGCATAGGAGACACGAAAATGCATACAAAGTGCTGGTCGAAGAAACCTCGTGGGAAGAAATGCCTTGGTAGACCTAGGAAGATAGAAAGATGCTCAGGAAGACATCTGAGGTTGGGAAGGATGCGTTTAGGTGTGATCTAGAACGTCATGATTAAAGCAGGTGACTTAGTATTGTTTGGATAGCGAAGTGTAGGTGACTATGATTGGCTGGCCATGTGAATACGAGGCGACGGATACAAGATATGCACATAGAATTTTATCGCGGAAAAGTTTCCTGTTACATACTCACATGGAAGACCGATAATGATATTCAAGGAAGACATTGAGATGATACTTTGGGATGTATCTTGTGAGGATCGGAGGTGGCTCCGGATCGTGTCCAGTGGCGGACTTTGTTATTTGCGGTGCTGAAGTTTCTGGTTCTGTTACCACAGTGCTAGCCTCTCATAGCTCGAAATACAGGGTTATTCATAATTCCCTGACACATGACAAAAAATCGCTAGACTTCAATGGTACAATGGATGGTAACATAGGTCATGCCGATAGAAAGAGAAACTCTCCGAGTTTATTTTACATACTTTATAAATGCTCAATAATCATGAGCTGCTTCATTGGCCACCCCGATCACCTGACCTGACGCCATGTGATTTTTTTTTATTGTTAACGACCAGATCTTTGTACCACCTCTGCTACGGGATCTGTCTGAGCTGCGTAGACAAATCATCGCTGCCATCTCACAAATCTAGCGATTTTTTTGTAATGTGTCAGGAATTATGAATAACCCTATATGAAGAAAAGAGGTGAGAATGTGGAGGTGCCGTTCAGATTTACCTATCCAGGAGCCAGTGTTTTCGTCAATGACAAGGCTGCTGTTTTCTGACTGCAGGTGGGGTAACAGAACAGCTGAGTGTCCCGCGGACATGCCGTAAGATGTCCCAGCGACAAAACACGTGCATGAGATCACGACCTGAAAATTTAAGTTTCATGATGTTTATGAACTAATAACTGTGACGTAAGAGCATAGATCGTGGATACTGAGGTAAATACTTGGACCGAAGGAAAGAGCAGTAATGAGTAAAATTGTGAAATACTTCCTAACTTGTTAAGTTCACGAAATGCTGTTTGTGTGCCTGAATTCTGTCTCACGATACAGTAACGGTGGTTTGTAACAATAATTAATGTGTCTGAGGTTTTCACAGCTGTGAATATGCTGATTGTGGTCTTGTGGCTTCTTGTAGGTGGTTATGAATATTTCCGAGGGACGCATCGCTATAATCTCTAAGGTAGAATACGTTCCTCCGAAACGTTGATAGAAAGTTACAAGACCAGACGTACAGTCAGTACAATGATCGGCTGTTAAAGAAAATTTGCTAGAGCATTTGGAGACTGTCTGTGGACCAGAGTGTCAGGAGCGAGACAGCGATAAGGGCAAAAGATGCCAGGGGAATCGGATAAGATGATGGAAAGAACAGATTTAATGCTTATCAGAACAGGGCAAGGACGTAATATTAGTTGTTGGTGGTGTCTGTACGTTGCACGCTTTACTAGAAATAATCTCAAAGTTATATCACACGTTAGTAAACAAAATGTGTGATTAATGTTTTGTAATATTTCCTTACATGACATAAATTTTGCTGCCAATAAAATTATCAGAATCATCACACAAAAAAAAAGTCTTACGGTTCATGTAATAGATCATTATATTTCTTGAAATCTTTATGTCATTAATTACGTCCTTTTTTAGGAAATTATATTTGTTACTGGGTATTATAAAAATCGAAAAAGATATTCGTGTGATTCAGGATGTAGTCCAATGAACTCTGTATTCCAATGTTCTCAACCTTTCTGGTGCCTCCAAACCCCCTCCGAAGATTATCTTATATATTTTGGTTAAAAAGAACACACACTAACCCAAATAAAAATAGAAGGTGTATTTTTTTCGTAATGTTTTATTCCGATGTAGAAATTAAAAGAATAGGAAAGAAAACTGAAAATTTGTAACAATTCATCAAAAAGTAAAAAAAGTATAATGTACTCAAGTCGCGGGCTCCTTAGGCACAACTTGCGGGCCACGGGTTGTCAATTACTGATGTAATGAACCTTCGGGATGTATAAAATCCGAGGAATTTCTAGACCAGTTGTGCGACTGCCAGCTTCTTAACGACGGCTCTGCCCCATGGTGTTCATTAACTATTTTTAATTATCTCTTTTTCTGTACATTTATCGAGATCTGAAAGTGAAAATAGGCTCAGTTTTATAAGCCCTTGTGAATGTTTAAACTTTCTCCAGACACAAATCACCTCAAGTTATTTTACTTTCATGCAGATAAGATTGAATCTGTTAATGTTAGTGGGTAATACGAAAATATACAGGGTGAGTCAGAAGTATGTTTACAAACTTTGTGTGCGAGTTCCAGGATCAAAATTAAGGAAAAATGTTCCTATGACTCAGTCTGTATAGCTTAAAGTTAAATATATTTGTTTCTATTTTGTTTGTAAGCCTGTATATAACAACAAGATGTAACAAATTTCTCCCTGAATAGCTTCTAGTCGCTCATATACCCAAGAAATCCCCCGCCCTTACGAAACCTGAAGGTTTATTTCCACGTTCAGAAGTTCCCGCCACTGGTCCGTATTTGAGGAAGATGAAATTAATGCACGCTCTCCAGATATGTTTCTTTAAGATACTTAAAAGTAAGTTTATTCGTCAACATAACTTAGTTACATTTATGTCACGCACATTTTGTAATGAAATGTTAACTTTTCCCTCCAGAAATAAAATATCTGTCACTTGTCTTCCAGAATATTCTTTGTCTCCCACACCCATACTATGCTAAGTATGTGTGTCTAATTTGTATAAAATCGTCTTACCTGTGGAATAATCGCCCTGGAAATTTTAGTTGACCCCTCCTGGTTCTCCGTGACCTCTGCCCTAATGTGTTAAAGACGAAGTTATGTAATGCACAGAAAATTTTTACGTTGGTACGATTAGCATAATTATGAAATATATAACAAAAATATTACTTCCGTTCTGACATGTAAACTGGATAAAAAAAATGTTTGCTGAAAAAGATAGCGTAACCTAAAATTATACATCGTTCTCGATAACTAGTAAAAATTCTTATAGCAAAACCATATATTCGTGAATGTCACATTATGTTTACATTTAGTCATGATATGATCATACGCTATTTAAATTCTACATGTAATATATCCAAAATATTTGTTTTAATAAATACGTATTTTTCTAAAAATATCATTGCTCAAATTTTTCTCTAAATTTTTGTATAAATTACTTGACTATTGGACTGCCGTCTTATGGTGGTAGGATCTCATTATACCTGTGAAAATATTTTTATTTCTTTAGTGCATAAAATCTTGTGGTAATCTTTGCTGCGTGTTGCCTATTTAACCTGTAATTATGACCAGTAATTTTAAAGTTGTAATTTCGGACATTCACAAATCTGACCGAGATCTCTGCTGGCTACTGTAAGGCCAAGCTGAACATTTAATCTGTTTACACGGTTGGAAAAATTTGTTCTCAAAAGAAAATTTTAAGAGAAATACGTGCTATTAATGATTTAGGGTACAGATTTCTGTACTGTCTTTAGACTATATTGTTAGAGTTTATGTTTATATGGAAACAACTTATAACCAAAATAAATCATATTTAAAAACACGCCAGGAATATCATGGATGTAAGCTGTTGTTTAAATAATTCTACATTAATAAAAATAAATCAGGATTTATTTAGTGGAGTCTTCATGATTCCGTATCTAATATCACTGTACAGTCCCTGTTAATTTTTTGTATTGAAGTATCTTTTGTTAAATTAGAGGATAAATAATTATAAGAAAAATTAAAATCAGAATAGCTTTAGATCTGTACCAAATGTGCACGAGATTTATTGGGATAGATTAATAGGACGTAGTTAAAACTATTTATTGACCGAAATTGGGTATCAAATGTTTATTCGGGGTTTTATAAGTTGTTTCACTTGATTTATGTTGGACTTTGTACACTGTTCTTTATCCAGAGAATATCAGATAGAAAATGTTTCTGTAACAGACTGAAGCAAATGTTACTTACCGGACTGAGGCCATGATACGTAGTGACTGTCTGCACAGATTGAAACAGGACAAAATTGCCACTTAAAAATAAACAAAACACATGCGCACATTTATTTTATTTAATCATGAACGAACCTTTTAAGATAAAACGTTGGGAAATATTACAGCGAAACCGTCTTAACACTCTGACGTATAAGCAATGTGGCATTGCCCTTTTAACCCCCTATATAAATTGGCAGCATCATTACACCATATTTCTTTATAAACAAGCTGTAATTTCATATTAAAATGCAGAATTAATTGGTCTTTTTTTTTTAATTTTAAATCGCAGTAAAATTAAAGTCATCTTCGTATCGAAATGGGATCGACCGGACTTAGCTGCCGAGTCACTGACCAATTAAGGCTTTGACCGGGATGTTCTTTTGTTAAATCTTATGTGGTACCGCCTGATTCGACTGCTAATGGTTAAGTGAAGTGTTTTCTTCGCGGTACGGTCTGGATTCGTAAATATTATGAAGACGAGCTTCGGCTTCAAAGGGTTAACCAGCTGATTTTCGTAATGGTGAGGTGTAGTGTTTTCTTCGCGGTACGGACTGAATTCATAAATAATATTCAGACGATCTTCGGCTTCAAAGGGTTAATGAAATCGACGGATCAAATTTATCGTTCAGAAAACAATAGTAGCTCAGCTAGTTAAAATATTCTGGAACCTAAAGGTCATTACAGTGCTTACGTGTCCCTATCCTGAGCCAGATGAATTCAATCCGCACCCTTGGAGTTTATTTCTTAAATATCTTTTTAATATTATCCTGCCATATAACCCCTTACCCAGGTCTTAATCTACACATTTTTGGACAAATTTTGAGGGCATGTGATTAAAACTCATTCTTTGTATTGGTAAGGTCTCGGATTGAAATCTTGGCTCGGAAACTTTTAATCCTGAGAGGTTTTTCTCAGTTCCTCCAGGCAAACGCATCGTTGCACATTCTTACCAGTTCATTATTCACTAATAATACTATAATTCTATGCGTTATAATCTGAGTGAGTTATTCATGGCGTCGTTAAAAACTATAAATAAATAAGTGAAATAGTTAGTAGACGGATATTCTGGAGAAAACTGCAAAGTGAGGAGATCAGAGGATCTATGTGTTTATTTTTATTTTTTATTATTTATTTAGTGTTCTGTCTGACGACAGGTCCATATGAACAGGATCCTTCCATCCTTTTCTCGGACTGGGACCTGTTCATATACGTTCTTGGCAGATGATCCAGAAGTGGTTTGCCATTGCCTTCTTCTGTGTGTGAATGGAGTAATTGTTGGGATGCCACGGAGGAAAACTCCGTGTTGCCTAGACCACGGCCTTGCCCAACACAAGTATGTGTTTATGGGATGATAATATTAAAACGTACCTTTGGGGGGGAAACGGGATTGAGGGTGTGGATTGGATTCATCTGGCCCAGAATATGGATCGTTGGCACGATCTTGTGAACGCGGTAATGACCTTTCGGTTTCAATAAAAGGCGGCAGATTTCTTGACTAGCTGTGCATACTATGAATGTCTCAGGAGGACTGATGTATTCTGGACTCGGTGGTAGTCACTGACATTTTAGAGGAACATACCGCCGAGATAGCCTTTGTCGGGTATTTATTTAACGACACTTTCTGTTGCTTAAACTTTGTAGCGTCGAGTGATAGGGTGGTTATTAAAGAATGAATGTTAAATTATATGAAACGAAATGGTCATGGCCTAATTTAAAGAGCTACCTCGACATTTGGGGGGAACTGAGATAAGACTTGTAATTGGGTTTGAGGCATTGTAAAAATGACACTGAAGATTGTCTGTTAGGGACGTGGTTAGTAGAGGCTTGTTGGAAAATAGAATGGACGCCTATTGGCCAGAGATCCATGCGTTTCGCAACAAAAGACACAGGACTTTATTCGTGTCAGACACTGAAATAGAGGTCAAGACATCTTGAAGTTTAAAGTTCGTGGGGAATCAGCAGATTGAGGTCATCTGCCACACTCTTTGCACATTGAAACTTCATAATTCCTTTGTACGGCGCAGACATGTCGAATAATCTTACGAATTTCTTGACATCATCATTGTTTATTGTAGGAATACACTGTCGGACATTGTTCATGGTATATCTTATACCGTTACGCGACGTTTCGGGAGTTGGATCTGAGAATCATGCGAAACCAGCAAATTAAACACCGTGGGTAAAATACGTAGTTACCGATTTGCTAAAGCGGGTGGTATATATACTTACCACTGGATCTTAAAGTATTCAGATCTCAGGCCAGAACAAGAACAGATCACAAATAACAAAAATCCTTGTCGTGTACACAAAGAAACTTTTGTTGGGACTATTATCGGTTGCATTATTAAAATAGTAAGAACATTTAATCGTAATAACTGTAATGGAGTTTATTAGAGTATAATACAAATATTTATTTTATCCTACGGAATGAATTGACGTTTTCTAATATCTTATTATAATTTTTATGGTTAACCATCCAAGGGACAGCTAAGTAAAAGCTTCGTTTATTTGAACATACCATGCGATTTATAAACATAACAGCCATTTCCATCGTCTTCTCATATACTTAAATATATTAATACAGATAGTAATATATTTAAGTATATGAGAAGCTCACGTTGACTGGCTAGTCAAGAATGTCCTATGTAAGATGTGAAATTTTCAAGTCGGCGATTATAAAGATGGCAGTCTTCTCCGTTTCAATAGGCAACACGGCGCTACAACCCAGAAGACAACCATCCTCAAGAGATTTCTACCTTCTATGGAACCGAAGGTTCATTACCATTTTCACGAGATAATGCACATAAATCCCATTTTAATATTTCCTCCCCATCTATGTGTAGGTCTGGCAAGTGGGCTCTTTCCTTCACATATTTCGTTTGTATTTTTATGGTTTCTTGTCTGTCCCATGTGTTGTGTAGCTTCAGAAGCTAATAGTCCTGAGCCACTTCAATCCACTCCATATCTTCTCATCATAGATCATTCCTCCATATATAAATATATAAGTTTCAGTACATAAAAGGTGAAATATGAGGTTCTCAGGGCGGGAGATATGAAGATAACACGACTTATGGAATGTTTCGCCGTGTAGTCTGGTAGAAGTTTACGGACGTTTCATACGCGCTCGCTACCTCTTATCATCACGAGGGTGCAAGTACTTTTGAAACGTCTATACAATTCTATCAGACATCTGAGGGCATTTTCCGATATGTAGATTTTTTTCTCTGATGTGTTTCAATTCAATGCTTCATGGACCCAGGACATTTGTTTCCAACTTTTGGCTTCCGTTCACCGTCCGGGTTTCACACCGAGACGTCTTCTTTCTTGTAATCCACATTACATTTGGCTGTCGGAAGTAGTCTTCAATCTGTTCCAGGGTTTTCCCCTGTGTCTCAGGAAGGAACGCGTACACAAATAGAGTACAAAGTAAACACGAGATTCCAAATAATAAGAACAAACCATGGATTTGTAAAATACTTAATAACGAATGATAAAATTTTAATGTACCCCCTAAAATGAGATCGTTTACCGTGTAAATGTAACCACACACGAAACCTCTTACATGCGCTGCCTGGGTCTCTCCTAACATCAGTACCGGTAACATGAGGTAACCAGTCGAGATTGATAGTACAAATAGCATGGTCAGCACGAATACCAGCCACGATTCAATTTCTCCTGACCCAGGCGAAGTACCTTTTGTGGACAACGTAATCAGCAACACACCGAGGGCTAGAGCAGATACAGACGAACCAATTCCTGATGTCAGTGCTATAGGTCTCCGACCAATCCGAATTATTAATAAGGTGGTTACGATATTACCCACAATTCGTACAAAAAACACTACCACGGCACTTCGATTTTCGTCAATAATTTGACCGCCCCCGGCTTCCTTGATCTTTGATAAAATGTCTACTGTGTAATATAATAATATGCTAGAACCACAGAAGACTTGAATTGTACCGAAAACGTGAAGAATGAAGAAAGGTTTTAATATGCGAGGAGTAAAGAATGCCCTGCAGGTCTTCTGAAAGTCCTGAACGGTTCGGCACCCTTGCACTTTGGAACTGTGGCGAGTTTTCAGGAATTCTAAATCTTCTTGTACCTGAAATAAGTCGGTATAATTGACCAAATAATATAATTGTCTAAATAACACAGTTGTCCAAATAATATAATTGTCTAAATAACACAGTTGTCCAAATAATATAATTGTCTAAATAACACAGTTGTCCAAATAATATAATTGTCTAAATAACACAGTTGTCCAAATAATATAATTGTCTAAATAACACAGTTGTCCAAATAATATAATTGTCTAAATAACACAGTTGTCCAAATAATATAATTGTCTAAATAACACAGTTGTCCAAATAATATAATTGTCTAAATAACACAGTTGTCCAAATAATATAATTGTCTAAATAACATAGTTTTCCAAATAATATAATTGTCTAAATAACATAGTTTTCCAAATAATATAATTGTCTAAATAACATAGTTTTCCAAATAATATAATTGTCTAAATAACATAGTTGTCCAAATAATATAATTGTCTAAATAACACAGTTGTCCAAATAATATAATTGTCTAAATAACACAGTTGTCCAAATAATATAATTGTCTAAATAACATAGTTGTCCAAATAATATAATTGTCTAAGTAACATAGTTGTCCAAATAATTTGTCTAAATAACATAGTTCTCCAAATAATATAATTGTCTAAATAACAGTGGCCCAAATAATATAATTGTCTAAATAACATAGTTGTCCAAATAATATAATTGTCTAAATAACATAGTTGTCCAAATAATATAATTGTCCAAATAACATAGTTGTCTAAATAATATAATTTCCCAAATAATATAATTGTCCAAATGATGCAATTGTACAAATAATATAATTGCGCAAATAATATTATTTAAATAATACAATTACCCAAATTTTATCTTGCTGTACAATGCTTTTTATATACGAAAACTAACTATAAACAGTGCGTAGACTTTCTTGAGAAGCTAAAAATCGCTGGGTTATGCAAATTCCTAGTATTTTATGTTCATACAACGCTGACTACAGCCCGCCACTGGTCCCTCCTGAGCCAGTTTAATACATTTCACAACTAAATTCCTTTAAGATCTGTTTTAATATTACATTCGTATGTACACATAGGTCTACTAACTTGTCTTCATTCAGATTTACGGATTGGAGTTCTATGTGTGTATTTTTCATGTGAGTTGCATAAAAGGTCCCGAAAATTAGTCAGTCCGTCAGTTACATAGGATAGAGTTCGCTTACCTCGGTTTCTCTTCGTGGACCCCACAGCCAGATCAAACCCTGAGTCGCTTCATCCATTCTGCCGTTCCTCACCAGCCACGACGGACTCTCTGGGATGACAAAGAACGGGAAGAGAGACAAAAGAGAGACAGCAGTGGCGACCCCAGAAACAGTACGCCAGTCCAAAAAAGCTGTCAAGGTGCTGATCACCACAACCCCACCAGACACACACGTCATGATGAAACACAGTATAAAACCACGGAAGTTCGGGTCAGCCAATTCATCTATGAGAATCTGTTTAAACGAACGACAGAAAAATTGAGCCTAAGCATTGTCATACCACATATATATTTATTATTCAAGTCATATACACAAACTTTTAAATTATTGATGTTAAAATTTAAAATTTAAAATTGGTATTCTGCGCCATTCATCGTTATCTCGATGTTACAATGTTGCGCTTTAATATTTCTACATGTTTCGATGTCATAGCATCATCTTCAGGTTTTTATATTTAAAACTATTCTATATTTATTAATGCAAGCTTTTCGTTGATTGTAGATTGTAGATTACTATTGTGGGTGTTTTCTTTGATCTTCTTATTATTTTGCATATTATGTTAGTTGTTCATTGTTCAAAGGATTGATGTGCAGTGTGTCCCCGTTTGATCAGGTGAATAATTAAATATAAAAACCTGAAGATGATGCTATGACATCGAAACATGTAGAAATATTAAAGCGCAACATTGTAACATCGAGATAACGATGAATGGCGCAGAATACCAATTTTAAATTTTAAATTTTAACATCAATAATTTAAAAGTTTGTGTATATGACTTGAATAATAAATATATATGTGGTATGACAATGCTTAGGCTCAATTTTTCTGTCGTTCGTTTAAACAGATTCTCATAGATGAATTGGCTGACCCGAACTTCCGTGGTTTTATACTGTGTTTCATCATGACGTGTGTGTCTGGTGGGGTTGTGGTGATCAGCACCTTGACAGCTTTTTTGGACTGGCGTACTGTTTCTGGGGTCGCCACTGCTGTCTCTCTTTTGTCTCTCTTCCCGTTCTTTGTCATCCCAGAGAGTCCGTCGTGGCTGGTGAGGAACGGCAGAATGGATGAAGCGACTCAGGGTTTGATCTGGCTGTGGGGTCCACGAAGAGAAACCGAGGTAAGCGAACTCTATCCTATGTAACTGACGGACTGACTAATTTTCGGGACCTTTTATGCAACTCACATGAAAAATACACACATAGAACTCCAATCCGTAAATCTGAATGAAGACAAGTTAGTAGACCTATGTGTACATACGAATGTAATATTAAAACAGATCTTAAAGGAATTTAGTTGTGAAATGTATTAAACTGGCTCAGGAGGGACCAGTGGCGGGCTGTAGTCAGCGTTGTATGAACATAAAATACTAGGAATTTGCATAACCCAGCGATTTTTAGCTTCTCAAGAAAGTCTACGCACTGTTTATAGTTAGTTTTCGTATATAAAAAGCATTGTACAGCAAGATAAAATTTGGGTAATTGTATTATTTAAATAATATTATTTGCGCAATTATATTATTTGTACAATTGCATCATTTGGACAATTATATTATTTGGGAAATTATATTATTTAGACAACTATGTTATTTGGACAATTATATTATTTGGACAACTATGTTATTTAGACAATTATATTATTTGGAAAACTATGTTATTTAGACAATTATATTATTTGTGGGAAAAATACAGAGTTATATACTGTTAAGTCAGGTGGTACATATAGTTACCACTGAGCTTTAAAGGTAATATCTTCACATTTTCTCATGTCAAACGAATTCACTTAATTTTATTAGCGTGTTTTGTTCTTAATAACCTATTTTATCACTCGGACCATATATTCTTACGTTATATACTTACCGTCAAAGTGGTGGCAGCCATGCTTCTTGCAAATCCTTCGATGGTTTTCGCAACCATCAGTGCCGGTACGTTATAAGCAACAGAGACCAGTAGCCATCCAACGAACAACATCGAATTTGCAACTATAGTAATCTTCCTTCGACCCCACTGGTCCATGGTTATCCCTGCCAGAATACTGCCAAATGGGCCCGCTGCGACGTTTAAACTTGCTGCGGGACATAACATTTAGCCATGTTGAGTAGCCTTTTTAAACCTAAAATGACTGCTTAAATGTTAATTTCTGGAATGACAAGGCCACTGATAGCCTGAGAACTTTTTGTTTAACAGATCGAAAGCTTGACTACGTGTAGTTGTTAATAATCTGTTACCTAGTATTCACGTAGATATTTCTCAGGATAAGGATACCGTGGCGGGATTTTATGAACACGGTAATGAACCTTCGGGTCCTATAAAATGCGGGTAATATGTTGACCAGCTGACCTTCTCAAGAAGGACTCTGCTGGATGCAGTTATTTGGTTTATTAGTTAGTTAGTGCATGTTTGCATAATGTCATATACTTTCGTTTTTATGAACTGCGTTTATTGATAAATTAAAATAATTTATTGTTCTTTTCGCACTGTGTTAGTCTTTTTATATCTGATAAGAGAATAAATACGTGGGCTCACGTGTGACGTAGTGGTCATATTTAATAGCGTCTCACCTTTGTGCTGTTTACTGTTGTATTTTAGAACTTAATTATTATTATTATTCAGTGTTCTGTCTTACGACAGGTCCATTGCTCTGCCCAAAAAGAGCTCTCCAGTTGTCCCTATTCTCGGCTTCTCGCTTTAATTCCTGGAACGTCATCTTCTTTCCTTGTTTAAGGTCGTCGGTTAGCTGTATCAATCTTCTTCCTAGTCCTCGCTTTCCTTCAACCTGGCCTTCGGTGATATCACTCATTAATCCATTCCTTCTCATAATATGTCCCAGCCAGTTAGCTTTCCTTCGTGTAATCGCCTGTAGAATGTTTCTTTGCTCGTTGACTCTCCTCAATACTTCTTCGTTGGTCACTCGATCCGTCCACCTGATCTTCTCTATTCTTCTCCAACACCACATTTCAAAACTCTCCAGGTATTTCTGTTCCTTCTTCCTGAGTGTCCAAGTCTCTGCTCCATACAGCGCGACACTCCATACGTAACACTTCACTAGTGTCTTCTTCATCTCCAAGCCCAACTTGCTAATATTATAAATAAATTATAGTGATATTTTTAACAGCAACAAAACGTTTGCCACTTTAGAAGCTTGGATATCGGAAAATGTGTCAAATTAACATTCGATAACAGCTGATATTGGGTGGTCCCCCAGCTTGAGTACTGGCAGGGGTCAGACAAGTTCTTATCGTAAAGCAGTCATACTGTGGAATGTTAAGATAAGTCTTTGGATTGTCACGGATTCTTTTGAAGGACTTAAGCAACTGGAAATGGACAAACGACTTTACAAACCAGAATATCAACCTCAGCTTATTCAATGCCACGAGGACCTCAGATCTCATATAGGATTGTCATTAGGTCTACAAACAGAAACGTTAATTAATTTAAGAAGAGTTATAGCTGTAAGTACCTTGGTGAAAGGTTAGACTGTTGAACTCATTCAGTTTGAGGTCTTTGGTATGTTACTTAAGACATGAGGAGAATTTCTGTCCGATTTTTTTAGATTAAAATTTACCTATCCATGAACCGGTGTCTTCGTCAACGTAGACACTGCTGTTGACAGAGTTGAGTTGTGGTAGCAATCCTGAAGTGTGACCTAAGGACATTCCAACTGACATTCCGACCAGAAGATACGCACACACAATTATGACCTGCACATAAATTAAAATAATGAATAATATCATTAGTACATTCATGGCTTACATTGTCTAAACTATTTTAAAATAATTACATTACTTATTTATTATTATAGACTTATGAATAGAGGTCTGAATATTTCCGCTGACTTCTGTGGTGCATTCTGTAATCGTTTTCGCAATAAACACCAAATTTTTAAAAGGCACAAAGGATAAAATATTAAGAAAAAAATTCATGCAGACAGACGCATTAAAATAAACACCAAATGGAAAAATTACGAATACATGTTCTGAGAAATGAAAAAAAAGGGTTATTTTTTACTTTGTGATATTTTAATGTTATTATAAAAGTATTTATTTAATAATTTTACAATACTTTTAGGTCGTGCCATTAACAATATTTGTCTTTCGCAGGAAAATACAATTAATCTTTTATTGTGACTGAATTTAACCTTTGAAATGTAAGGTCTAGTATAATTTTACGACAATTAATGTAACAGATTAAAAGTTATATAAGCTATTAATATTCAAACAACAAACCTAATTGCATTGAGAAAATTAAAATAATTTTTTTTTGTGGACGTGAAATATGCTAATTTAGGTACTTTTCCTTGCAGTTCAGCCATTATTACTACCGATAACAAGTGCAGCCATTATAATGAAGATGAAAATCATATTAGTCTCACACAGAACTGGTTGGGAATATTGCTAACTGATAATGGTTTCTGATAACTCAAAAACGAAAACCAGTCTGATTTATTTTACTGAAATATTCAGAGTAAACTATAATGATTTTTGATACGTAGGTTTAAGTTAAAAGATAATATTAAAACGGGCATTAAAGAAGTTAGATCGTGGAACGGTTTCATTTAGCTGAGGATGGGGTCCAGTGGCGGGTTTTTGAGAAACACGGAAATTAATCTTTATTTTCCATAAAATCCAGAGAATTCTTTGTTTGGGTGATGTCGTCTCCTGTCCGTTCCATTTCGTCTGACAAATCGAGAATACATTTATCATGTTAAAATGCCATGTAAACCACCGGATTTTGGTGGTTGCGTGTGTGAACATAATGTAAATGACGTACCTGTGGTCCGACTGGTCGTAATGACTTCTTTTCCTTCTGAATAACGATTTCTACAGCGGATTTCTGAACAGGAGAGTCATTCAACTCCATGATATGTTCCTGAGTGCTGAAAAGATAAATGTCGGAACTTAACTATTGCAAATCATGAAATCTACGTTCATATGGCATTGATTTATATTCTTAAAGGTCTTGTGTTTGTTATATTTGGGCAATGCAAGTCTGTATATAACCCAACAATCTAATGTAACAGACGCCCAGTAATCAATATCCCTTTATAGAACTACCATGACATTGTATCAGCGCAAACAGTGCAAATTGTGGTTTTAAAATGTGTTCAGTAGTGAAATTAAAAATAATTAAATTTTTGTATCAGTTAAGAGATGAAGTGCCTTGGTACTATAGAAGTGGATTATTAAGGATGCATATAAATTAATGCAATATACACGTTTCAAGCATTAATTAAATGTGTCGTATAAGAAATATGGGATTTCATTGTATTTTACCAAAGCCTCGATAATGATAAATGTTTTCTTCAGATTTTCATAGAGGAAAAACCAAAGTCGAATTATTTCCGTTGTGTAGATGTGTCATACTTTTTTTTTTTAGAAAAGAAACACGCAGGCCTGTAAATGTACAATGTTTTTCATTTGGGCTTCAATTCCTTTCATTAACTGTGCGTGCTAATCATATCATATGGAGACTGTCTGTCAAAAACGTTTCAGATCACATGTTCAGGTCACGTAAACTGATGTAAGATCTACAAACATATTTTCTCCAAGTATTTTTATTTTTATTTCGTATAGAATTAAATGTCGTCTGAAAACAAGAAAATGGCGTGCTGTTCCCATGGATTTAGGTTTTACGAAATTATAATCCTCAGATATCGTTTTATCATTCTGGGTCGGCCTGTTCCGATAATTTTAATTAATTTAATTAAAATTAAAGACAGTCGCTACTGTAAATTGTTACAGATAATGTTTTACTTTGGTTTATCTTTTTATACGCACACGTTCAGTTTACTGTATTGAATTTCAGCCATCCTTACCACAAATACCTTTTATAAAATACTATTAGGGCTAACAAATGAAGAAGGATGAAATTGAGGGAGGGGGGGAATTAGCAGCCACGACAGAGATAATAAAATCATGTTCTAAAATATTTTAGACGAAAACCCTGAAATGAGATTTAATTTGTGAGATCTAGAACCGGTTAACAGACCGTCGGCTTCTCAAGAAGGAACCTGTTTTATAGAATTAGTTACCACAATTATTATCCAGAATATTTCTTTCTGTATGTATCAATCAAAGGCATGTGGATTTTGGTATTAAATCAACAGATATATGGAATAAATAAAATATAATTTGAAATAATTTATAATATTTACGGCTAAATTTGGGGTGCTTGATAGAAAATTTGCCCCCCCCCCCAATCCTGGCAGCCAAGGGGGCCCCCCAGCCAAGGTACCGAAACCCTTTCAGAGATATACAAAAGTTTGTATATCGAGACGAAAATAATTTTTTATTATACAATTTTTTTTAAACATATTTTTGGTCACAAGGTCTATTCATTGAGTAATCACAATATGAGTTTCAGCCACGTCTGGCCTAATCTTAACTTACCTTACGAAAGTCAGTCGAAGTGAATCTTCTCCCTTCTTCTGCAAACCAGTGGGTTGATTCCGTGCACTACCGCCTGCTAACCCGTATTAGTTTGTGAATTAAATGACCATAAAATTCTTGGAAATTGTTAATGTTGTGTACACAGAACGATTTATCTGCTGTGTAAATTTGTCAGTTCGTATTTGAATGCCTTGAAGAGCTCAGCAAGTAACTGCTTGATGTTCTCAGACTTCAATGACAGCCGTGTGATTCGCAAACTGTTGTTGCCTTCAAATAGACACGGGTAAGATAGTATATATATATATATATATATATTTTTTTATTATTATTATTATTTTTTTTTTAAGTTTCGAGGATTGGACTTTGGATCAAAGTTTTAATTCACGTTAAAGTGCATATAAATATTACATATATGATATCAGTAGTTGTCTGTAAGACGCAACACGCCCTACTCTCTGGTTACACGCAGGTCGGAACTAGGAACAGAAGGGTTATCGGTCCCTCCCCTTACCCCTACAAAGTATAACGCAAAACTGATCAAAGAATTTAGTCTACTCGTGTCATGTTAACCTACTTCAGGACGTCTCTAATTGTGCAAGAACTTTCCGGTAATTGAAATTGCGTGTGGACAGGATCACCTAAGGTGTGGTGCCACCCCTCAGAAAAAAAAATAATGCCGCCCCAATGTCAGGAAAATATATTTTAAGGTCATCTTTACGAAATTAGCAAAATTTCTATCTGAAGTTAGCATTAAATTGGTTAAGATTAAACGTCTTCTTAACTCGCCGTATGGTTATTAAACTTTGTCCAAGATTTTAGATATGTCGTTCACAAAGTTCGTTAAGATCTGCACCCATTTCCTGTACAAAGGATTTCAAATTGATTGCCTGCAATTAGACTAACATAATTAATGTTATCATTTCTTCCTTCATCAAACTGATATATATATACAAATATCATGCACACTACGGGCTAACTTTCTTTTATTTCACTGGGGATTATCAATCCAGAAACCATTGAATTATTTCCTCCTGTAACGAGTACAAATAATTAATTAAACCAGTACAGCAAACCTCCGACAAAACTTTACTAATTATATTTTGTTTCTGTTGACATCTTGAGATGCACAGGCAATGGAAAATTTAAAAAAATTACGTTATACAAGGAAACGATTGATAATCGATATTCATTCTTCAAGCCAACCATAACAGTTTAACTATTTCAACATCAGTTATCTGAAAAATAAAAGTAAGTCAAATATGAGGTCTTTATCAAAGTATATTACAGACAACTTCGTGGCATTTGTATGTGTATATATATGTATATTTATGACCTTTTACATGTATATATTTCAAATAGAAACAAGCATACAGTTGTCTGTTGCCACTGCTTACGTCAAAATACTTGTTCAGATTCGGGAGTCCATCATCTTGTTTTGAAACCCCCTGTCACCCACAAATGTAAGCGGTACAGAATTAAAAATCATACCATTCAGCCTTCACAGTACATTTGCATGATGTTACAACATACCAAACTTTTCTTTTCCTAAACAAATAACACTCTGATAGAAAAGAAAATGCATTTGGATGATTATGTATATTCACCCTGAAGTTTTTAGGCCGATATTTCTAATTTAATACTTTTCATATCCGTTGTATTAACTGTCAGTTTATAATTAATTACGCAGTTTAAAATATTAACGAATATAAACACGACATGCCTCATTTTAAATTCGCGGTATCGCCACCGATTAACTCATTGCGTAACGCCTGTGATTAGAACATTTCTGCCTTGTATTCGGAAGATCTCGGGTTAAAATCTCAGCATTAACCAGTTCGTATTTGTAATGGTGAAGTGTTGTGTTTTCTTCGCGGTACGGGCTGGATTTTTAAATAATTATTTAGGCGAGATTCTTCTTCAGAGGTTTAACGAGACACTTTCCACGAAGATATAAACGGATTTCGTGTGCGCAGAAATGTGCCATGTAGGATTCACCAACCAGTTACGTGGAGAATCCTCCGTGTGACGTCATCACCCAGGCAGGCAGGCTAATGGAACGGGTCACTGATCCCTGGTAATTCTGCCGTCGTTTTCGTGATTCTGTGAGGTAAAACCTATGATTCTGGTAAACGCGAGAACTTGTTACTCTGGGTGTGTATGTTGAAATACATTTCCTAACTTGTTACCATTACGATGTAACGCGACGTTTGGCTGATTAGCTGTAGATTTTGCGAGTATCATGTGTTGGAATCTGGGCCATGACACCAGATACTTTGAAGTTGTTCGTGATTTTTCTTAGTGTTTTTTTTCTTCTCCCTCCAATCGATGGGACAGGACCAATATCTTTGGCATTATTTCCGTTTCGTCGTCAGTAGTGCTCGTAGCTCCTCACAGCCTCAGTAGCTGGCGTTGTTGCCTCTCATGGAGATGCTCATTCGACGGTCAGCCTTGCTACCCCCTGCCTGGTGATACTGTTGTTGACTCGAGGGTGCGGGTGGCGGGTAACGCCATCTGCGGGGTCGCGACAATAGGTGTCCGTCCGTGGACGCCCGACCCCTAAAAGGAGGCAGAGATTCACTGCTGCTGGCTTCGCTCTCTCTACGTTCATCTGATTCTTCCTCCTCGTCTAGTTCCACCTCTGTCCACCTCCTCCCTGTGTTAACACACGTGAGAAATTGTGATCACACATCATACCTTCAATGGCCTCGACCGACTCAGGATAACTTCGGAGGACATGGATTCCTATTCGAAAGTTGTTCTCTCTGAGTCCCTCTATACGCTCCTTCAGTTTGGCCCTAACATTTTGAATCACCCTGTATATATTTCCCGTATATCATGCTTCTACTTGTATGACAAGGCAAACGTCTTCAGAGATATGGAACAGTTATTTATTATAAAAACAAATAAATGCAAAGCAAAATCTGGACAAGGTACTGGGATTTAAATGTTTGTATAAACGTAAGTCAGAATATTAACATAATTATCTGTCGCCACGGAAGTAAAATACAGCTTAGACTGCAAGGGTTATGACTTAAAAAAAAAATTGTTTGGAAATCTTTTATTCAAACTACGAACATAAAAAACTTAGGCTGATAAAAATATGAGCATAAATGTCACTCCTTAAGATATATGACTTTTAGCTTAGATAAATTGTTTTGAAGTTAATTATGGTACTTACCTACGTTCTTTAGCTACTTCAAGTATCAGCGTGATAAAAATTGACTTAGTTTGGCGTGTTTGCAATGGAAAACGCTTCACTGTGAATATAATAACCTGTTTCATGCCAGATAAGGATTTTCTGTGATACTTTGAATCGAAAGTGTCCGGTCATTGAGATACGAGGCTGGAAAAACAACATTTTCTTTTTTCTTAGATGAAAATGGTAATTGAGGATTTATTTTTGATTTTCACATTACCATATTAGTGAGACAGTTTGCTCATGAGGCCTATACTATTAGCTCTTAACTTTGCTAATCGGGTGTATTCCATAGGAGAAAATATTTAACCTTGGCAGTGCTGACTCACGTGGAAATCCGATGACAGTAATAATTTTATTGCAAATTAATAATTTTAAATTAAAAATCTGTATCATGCGGAATTATTGTCTCTTATATTACTTCACAATGTTCATCGCCATTGCCAAGGTCAATGTTTTTCTTAGTGTTACCAATTAATTATTCGGTCTTTGTCCGTCTAATCACAATTCATATTTAAATTTACAATTAAGATAATTAAAATATCATTTTATGTTCCTCATCGAACAATCGATTTACAATTGGAACATCTTTTTACAACATGTTTCGGTTTCTATATAAACCATCTTCAGGTGTAAAAGTTAAAATTATAAACTTAAAACTTAATTACAATTTATGATATGCAACACTCTCATCTTTGGCAGCTGTAGAACATCAAAAAACATTCACTCCAATATAAAAATGAATCTGGAAGTGAACATCACCAAAAAGTTGCATATCAGAAATTGTAATTAAGTTTTAAGTTTATAATTTTAACTTTTACACCTGAAGATGGTTTATATAGAAACCGAAACATGTTGTAAAAAAAGATGTTCCAATTGTAAATCGATTGTTCGATGAGGAACATAAAATGATATTTTAATTATCTTAATTGTAAATTTTAAATATGAATTGTGATTAGACGGACAAAAACCGAATAATTAATTAAATTTCACAATATGATGCAACTATATCATCTTAGTGTTACCATATGATTTTGAGGCCACAGTTTAAATAGGGGTAGTGAGTGTCTGCCATCAAAATAGTTTTTACACGAATTCAGAAGTAATCCATTGAAACCGTCTTTTTTTTAAAATGTTGATATCCTTGACTTTAAATAGTTTTAACTTGTTTAATTTTTTTTTCAAATTTCTTCCTGGTTTTCTTCAGTTTCTCCCCCCGTTTATTCCTGTCTTTCAAAATTTCTGCAAATTCTACATATCCAGTTATAGCCAACAGTTTTTTATTTGAAAGAATGTTAACCATCGTACTACTTAGGTAAATGTAGAAAGTCTTGAAACTGTGTGTGTACTGCGTTGACCCAGCAAATTATGAACTCTGACCTCACACATGAGAATGGACGTAAGGTTAAAAAATAACGCTTATAGGTTTTTTTTTTTTCAAAAATGAAATTACTAATCTTCCAATTTCTGTAGCGAAAGTGTTTACCTAGCACGACGACAGGTGACACCGCGCTCTGACTTCCGTTGGGTGTGGTAGTTCCGTTCATTGCCAGTTTCGAAGTGCAGATGAATCTTGTTGAATCTGGGCTTACGATCTGTTCAGTGTGGAGGTCGCTGGATGAACGTTTGATTTTGGGGCATTTGCTGTGGACCTTCCAGAAGCGACACACGTCTCGGAAGACAGACCACACCTAAGAAAGATACAATTTACACTTAAAATATGAACAGACTTTGCATCCTGCATCCTCTGGGGACCGATTATGATTCAGAATTAATTTTAAGAAAAAAATTACATTTTAAGAAATTCGGTACGACTCTTGGGAACCGGAAATGGGTAGGCGGTTATGGTTATTAATTTAAATTAATCCCTTGAAATGTGATGATTTTTATGTATGTCATATGCATGATTCTGCTTAGTCACTATTTGCCTTAATGACATCATCGGGACCAGTAACAGGGGTTCGATTCCTGACAGACTACATGCTTATACATTCCAGAAGACGACCGTGTTTAGGATGATTGGTAATTAATTAACTGTAAAGAACGTGGATGAAGAAAGGTCGTGGCTTATTTTAAGGCATCCCAGCATTGAGGTAAATGATAAATAAAACTCAGACCTCTGGATAACGGAGGTCAGAGCCGAGATTTGAGTTAGGGACCTTCTGAATATGAGGTATGAATGCTAACACGTCTGCGGTGTTGACATTCTGAACGCCGTGACCTTTGGAGAAAAGAAAGGGCATGAAGATTAAGCTGGATCAACATCTTTCTGAAAGGCGGGCTTCTGACGTTAGACGTGTTCAATCCTCGACGCGTATCTATGTACCTGTTCAATACTTTCCCTCACAGAAATCTCGTGGAAACAGACACAGCCGATTTCCTTGCTTCGCCTTTGTCCTTCTTCCAGGGACACCATGCGGTCACCCCATTGGTCAGTCTTATTTCCCACCAGGACTACAGGAACGTCTGTTACCGTTTCCTGTAACAGCGTTAGTAAATATTTGTTTAAATCTTGTCAGTCTAATCACAATAAAATTCCTATTAAATATTAAAATATTACCATAATTAACATTTAAATATTTAAAAATATATTAAATGATATTCTCTATCGAAATGTTCGATTTACATTAGAATATCACCTTTTTACACGACATGTTTCAG